GGATTACAGGTGTGAGCCACTGTGCCCAGCAGAAAAGAGAGTTTTTTAAAAAAAAAAAACAAACAAACAAAAAAAAACCTGGAACTCTGTTTCCCAGAACCCAGAATTACTTTCTCCATAGGGTACAAGGTTATAGTTGACCACAAGAAAAATTTGCATGAGATTTGAAAAGTGACAGTGAAGGAGCAGACATTTTAAATATTCTGAAGGTCATTGTGAGGTGGGGGTTTCTTTTTTGGGGTGATGGAAATATTCTAAAATTAGATAGTGGTGATGGCTGCAAAACTCTGTGAATACACTAAAAATCACTGAATTGTACACTTTAAAAGGATATATTTTAAGGTATATGGATTACATGTCATTAAATCTGTTTAAAAAATTATACTATTAAAGAAACTTTTTTGAGATGGAGTCTTGCCCTGTAGCCCAAGCTGGAGTGCAACCTCCACCTCCTGGGTTCAAGCAATTCTCCTGCCTCAGTCTCCCAAACAGCTGGGACTACAAGAGCAAACCACTACACCCAGCTGATTTTTTCATATTTTTAGTAGAGACGGGGTTTCACCATATTGGCCAAGCTTGTCTCAAACTCTTGACCTCAGGTGATTCACCCTCCTTGGCCTCCCAAAGTGCTGGGATTACAGGCATGAGCCACTGTGCCAGGCCAAGAAACATATTTTTTAAACGACTTTCCCCATATCAATTTGGCAAACATTTAAAAGACTGGTACCCAAAGCTGGTAAAGATCTGGGAAAACAAGAGTTCCCGGAACACGGTTTCTGAGGGTAAGTTTATAATATATAACAAATGTTCAAAAATCTATTTCTTTGGCCTAACAGTTTCACTTTAAGAAATTTATTCCAGGCTAGGTGTGGTGGCTCATGCCTGTAATCCTATACTTGGCTAGGTGTGGTGGCTCATGCCTGTAATCCCAGCACTTTGGGAGGCCGAGAAGGGTGGATCACTTGAGGCCAGGAGTTTGAGACCAGTCTGGCCAACATGGTGAAACCCCATCTCTACTAAAAATACAAAAATTAGCCAGCTGTGGTCGTGCACACCTGTAATCCCAGCTACTTGGGAGACTCAGGTACAAGAAGCTCTTGAACCTTAGAGGTGGAGGTTGTAGTGAGCCGAGATTGTGCCACTGCACTCCAGCCTGGGTGACAGAACAAGACTCCATCTCAAACAAAAAAAAAAAAGAAAGAAAGAAAGAAAGAAAAAAGAGAAAATCAATAGAGAGGTGGTTAAAAAACTATGTT